AATTGCTAGCTTCGTTGGAAAGAGCCGCCGGATTTGTCCTGTTGAATTGGCACCTCCAATACATCTCTTTCTTTCTTGTCTTTCTTTTTTTTCCAGAGAGGAAGGACAGGAAGTCTGTCCTTAACTTGCCAGCACCTCCCTTGGTTTAAAGCAAAGGTCTCCAAACTCGGCAACTTTTAAGACTTACGGACTTCAACTCCCAGAATTTCTCAGCCAGCCTGTGTCTGTTTCTTACCCGCCAAAGTGGAGAGATTGCAGAGGAAGGGATCACGAGAGAGTAAGCTCTGCTGGCTGGAGAATTCTGAGAGTTGAAGTCCACAAGTCTTCACAGTTGCCAGGTTTGGGGGACCCCCAGCTTTAAAGGAACAAAAAATAAAAAGAGCCCAGAGAGCTTAAGCATTTCCGTTGTCCCTAAAACTTGCCCCTCAAAATACCATGGCAAAGCAGCGCCAGCCTTTGCAACGCAAAGCAGCAGGGAAGGTGCCAAGGGGATGTGTGTGTGTGTGGTTACCCTTACTCCAAAATGAGAAGAGAACCTTAATATAAATCCTGGGTTGTCTGGGAGCGCCGAAGGAGGGAGATGGCTGTCTTAACCATTGGTGCGGCTTACGCCAGGCGGAAAGTTGATGAGCTTTTAAGCTGTCAGATTATTGAAGCACCCCGTCGTCCGGCGCACTAAAAAACAGAGAAGGCGTCTTCCTTTTTTTCTTTTTCTTTTTTTACATGGGAGTGGGGGGGGTATCTTATTGGTTTGCACCCCGTTCTAGCCCTCCTGAATTCACACATCGGCCACACACACACCCCGCTTTCTTCCTTCTCCATCTTGGCGGCAACGCTGAGTCCCCTTGAGTTGGAAAAGGTGCCAGGGAGCAAATTTGAGAGAGTTTGGCCCATCTTGTTCATTTGTTTGCAGAAAGTCTTTTCTCCAAGTTTTGCCACCCTGGGGTCTCTCTTAATCGTTCCAGTGTTCTGTTTCGTTGGTCATAATTGCACTTTTCCGGCAAGTCGACGGAGCCCTGCGGGCAATTATCTGACCACTTTTATCCTCCGTAGTTTGAGGCTAGGAGTCAGTTTGCCGGAGAGGGAGAACGCCGCTCGCTCGCTTGCCCCTCTGGCTCAGCAGGGGCCGAAACTTTAACACACACACACACACACACACACACACCGGTGCCAGACAATTCCCTTTTCTTCCTCTTGAATCTTCTCCGCGAATATTACGGTCCCTCGCTCCGCGTGGCGAATTGCAAAGCCTCCGGGGAAATGAGACAGGCTGCAAAATGTCTCTTGACAGGTGTACTCTCTGCCTCCCAGCTCTCGCCCGATCTTCTTAGGAACTGAGACTCGACTTGATTTCCGAGGCGCTTTTAAACACGGCGTGTCACAAAACGAGCTTGGATGAAAGGAACTCAGGTGGAAATGAGGGCGTTCCTTGAGCGACGGCGTGTGGAAAAGAGAGCCCGGGGCATGGTAAGGATGAGTTTGGGCATCTGCCGTGATGCCAAAAGAGTCTCTGGCCACTGGCCCGGCCTCTTCTCTCCATCCCCACGTGGAAAATCTGGAAATAGTGGGTTCTTTTGAAAACATGGAAATAGGACGTATCCTGAAGCATTCCTTCCTGTAGGCAAAATTCAATATTTCTTCCAGCAGACAAAGCATTGGAAGAATGTAAGCTTTCCAATCTCGTCTGCTTTAAGATTTGTGGGATTCTGGGAGTTGAAGCCCGCAGTTCTTAAAGCAGACGAGATTGGACAACCCTGAGACAAAAGTCAACATGGACCTATGAACCTTGGCAGAGCCTTAAGATGCCCTTAACTAACCAGGCCTGACCAATTCTCAGCCCTGGTTCCCATCCAGTTTGGGTATGGAGTTCTGCAAGGCCCGGGGGTGGTGGCGGCCGTGAGGCTGATGGATATGGTAGTCCCTCAGTCTTGGAGGACGTCAAGTGGTCAAGGCTTGCTCAAAAATGGTCTTTGAGATAAGGGTCCCCATCACCACCACCCAACCTTGGGGTGAAGGCTCTGGTTGAAAGGATGTTCCTGAACGTACTTGAGATGAGCCTGGCTTGTTATGTCGAGTTTCAGGAGAAGACAATAGACCGTATCTTAAGTTGACTCTCTCTTCCAGATTTCCTAACCTCCGAGTCACTGGGCTCATTGGGTTTCTAACTAGGAAGTACGGATTTGGTTGCTCTCTATCGCCATTCCTGATCCTGATGAAGTCCAACGTCCCTGTAGGAATTGTGGCATGTTGTTTTTGGAGGACAGCCATGGTGGAGGATCCTCATCATACAGCCAGATCCTCACCTCCTAGCTGACCCAAATTCTCATCTTCTAGCTGACTCAGATCCTCATCTTGTAGCGGACCCAGATCCTCACCTTCTGGCTGACTCAGATCCTCATCTTGTAGCGGACCCAAATCCTCACCTTCTAGCGGATCCAGATTTTCACCTTCTAGCTGACCCAGATCTTCACCTTCTAGCTGACCTAGTTCCTCACCTTGTAGCGGACCCAGATCCTCACCTTCTAGCAGACCCAGATCCTCGCCTTCTGGATGACCCAGATCCTCACCTTCTAGTGGATCCAGATTCTCACCTTCTAGCTGACCCAGATCCTCACCTTCTAGCAGACCCAGAT